GTTTCCTTCTTAGCTTTTAAAATTTTGAATGGTAAATATGGTTTATCTCTATGTGTCTATTGATGGCTCATTTGTCTGAATGCCAAGCTTCCCGGAATTTCCTAGCATTTTTGTATTTAGCTTGGTCTAGGATGCTCACAGTATCTTGTGGTCTCCTCATGGGGAGCAACTGTCTGGAGCACTTGTGGGTGATCTCCTGTCCTCTCTTTGCCCAGAGAGGTTCAAAGAGCTGGTCTACTCACCGGCTCTTCATTCTTCACCGCAGTTGTTGGCTCTGCTTTTTGTGGAGCCGTCATCAGTCTGCTGAAGTCAGTTAGTATGGGTTGTTTTTTGATAGACTTGCACTTCTAATTTGTTGTCTTCCTCTGCTGATGAGGATATCCAGGAAGGGTAGTGTGTTGTTGTTTTCTCCTTCCCTTATGAATTTTATTCCTTTGAAGATGTTGTTGATTGTTTCATGTGTTTTCTCTAGTTGTCCCTTTTTTATTTGGATGGTGTCGTCTACATACCGGATCCATACTTTCAGTTGTATGTGTGGGAGTGCTACAGTTTCTAGACACTGCATTACAGTTCCTGCTATGAGTCCTGAGAGTGGTGATCCCATGGGTGTTCCTCTGATTTGTTGGTATGTTTGTCCATCAAACTGAAAGTAGGTAGTGAGGCAGAGGTTGATGAGGTCCATGATTCTGGATTTTAATCTTGGCTAGGTGGGGTGTGTTGTGTAGTACTGCTGCCATGGATTCTTTTGCTAGTTCTGGATCTGTGGGCCCACTGATGATGTTACCTAGTTGGGTAATGAAGTATCTGCAAGCAAACATTCCCTTTTGCAGGAGAGGTCCCAGCACTGGGGATAGTGCCAAGTGGCATACTTTTCTGCCAGTCGGATAGCAGAGCAAGTACAAAGTAAATCTGGACAACAGAACAAGTAGAATGTTAAAAAAAAAAAAAAAAAACACCACTTCCTTCCCAACCTTCTCTTCTCAGGTAACTTGTATATTCTCATTTCAGGTTAAAAGAAGGACTCAGCCCTGATGCCACGCTTAGGTTTAGCAGTGTTATGAGGAGGAACCAGGCTTTGCAACCAAAGCCCCAGTTCTGCAAGACCATCTCCCTGAAGAAGCAAGGCTTCATTGCATTTGACCGGGACTGACACGTGGCTGCATTTCTCAGTCACCACCTCAGATTCCTTATTAGTGTTGTAAAGTGAACCCTTCTTAGATAATCTTGAATTTTTCTTTATTCACTTTTATGACAACTTGTACATTGTAGCTTTTTCCTTTTTGAAGTTTTTAAAAACAAAATATCTAGTGTTTATGGCATGAAAACAGTGGAGCGTGTGAAAAAAGAATCCTCTTTTTCCAGAAGTTTTACCATAGTTTTGGAGTAAGACAACTGTACTATATTTGCATGTGCTAGTAATGATTTGCCATACACAGACACACACACTTCCCCAAAAGCACTCAATTCTGATGCAGTGAGCGGGAAGGGAGGAAAAAGCGATAAATCTAGGACACAACACCCAACTAAACTAGACACTCACTTTTTCTATAGAATCATACTTAATTACAGGCATACTATAGGAATTGATCAGTAAAAGTGGTTTTCCAGTTGTTGCAGTGATCAGCTCATTGAGCCAAGTCCATGCATGATTGCTCTAATGTAAGCCTCCCTTAGTTCAGTTGTGTTTTCTCCCAAGAACAATTGCATAAGGTTTGCAAGGCAATTTGCATATGGCTGCTTCTCCCATATGCCTTTCTTGTTCCCAGATGCATTCCTTGTAGCAGTTGGTAACTGACAGAGAAGTGTTTCATTCTTCAAAATTCAGGGCAGATGTGTGTAATTTGCACATTTTTAAAAAAATTCTCCTTAGAAGGAGCCAAACATGAATGTGTACAACACTGGGGTCAAAGGGAGGCACCAAGTACAGCCTTATAAGCCTCTGAAAATTCATGATGGCCTTAATGTAAAAGCTGAACAAAAGGCATTCATTATGAAGCTATGTACAAAATAATGTAAAGTTATCTGTAAATACCTTTAGAATATGTATCAATGTGGCATTTTTTATTTCTTCCAATTGTATAAAAAGTGAAACATAAAAGTGATTTTTCCTGTGGATATTTGGTACTCTATGAATCAGGCCTTTGTTCTTCATCCTTTTTTGGATACAATATGAAAGTATCTCATCTTTATGCTGTACAAAATCACCCTGGTTCATGCTGCAGAGTTCTTTTCTTCCTCTGGTTCACCCCTGAGCACAGTTTGGGAAGGAATATTGAACTGTTCTGAGCCTTTTGTGAAGTCCATCTATGTTTTATTCCACTTCTTTATTTTGGAAGCCTGTTTGGATGTAGCATTTTGCATCTACAACATGATTCCTTGCATTATCCTCTAAGATGTGGGTAGTCAAGGTGGAAGTCTCCAGATTTCATTCAACTGCCACTCCACCTCTCCTTCACCATCTACCACGTTTACTAGAATTGGTAGGAGTCTGAGATCACATCGGGAGATCTATATATTCATAGGCAGCTGGTAGATGGCGCAATGAGGTCACGTGTCTCGTTATATCACATAAATGATGTCAGGATGCAAATGATGTTACTTGCCGTCCCACCATCACAGATGCCCACATACATGTTGTTTATCCATATATTTATTGTATATGTGCAAAACTGTATTTGTGGATAGAAGTTCCATAGCCCTTATTTGTTTGCTTATTATTTTATACAATTTATGTGATCACCTATCTCAACAAAGTGATTCTGAGGAACTAACAATAAAAAAAAAATCTAGACTATGGAGCAGATATAATGCTGGCTTCCTAAAAGCAGTTTTATAAGTTGGACCTACTGCCTGGAATAAATACTCACTCTGTCCCTATTCTTTCTGGCTTATTTAGATATGAAAATCCCTATTCTTTTTAAAAGTTTTTTAAAGTTGAATATGCACATATTTATTCCAAAAGCCATTCTGCTTATAACAGCTGAACACATTCTGCTACATCTGGGTTTCAATACAACTTTAAATTAAAGTAGGAGAGATTGTCTTCACAGTTTTTTTTAAACAAACCAAAAAGGTAGCTTTAGGGAAACTTCACATATTACTTTTAAAATACATCTGTAGCAGATCACAGACATATGCTGTACCAGGATAATAGCAAACGCTAAGTCATTTATACAACTTTATAACCCAAATATATTTACAATGCAAACTTAACCATGGTTTGCTCAATTCAGTTTTTTGGAGGATTCTCATGAAGCCTTGAGTCATATCCATATTATATAAACTGGGTTCAAACAACATGCTAAGCTTAAAAGCAGTGCCTAGCTTGTGGTCCTTTGTGATGTTCTTTGTACTGTTCTCTTAAGAATGTCCATCTACATTCCAATAAAGTATTTCCAGAAAAAATATTTTTTACAAAGTACATACGTACTTCTTTTTATGTCCTGAAAACAGTAGATTCAGATGATCTGTTGACAACTTGATAGGCTGGTGATCTCAGATTCTGGGACCTCTTTCCTCATTCAAAGGCATTTCTGTGTCCACTTACTCTTTAGCAACATTGCTGTCTGTTTATCCAGTGTAAAGTGTAGCTCGCATTGCCAGATAGAAATTACAAAAAAAAAAAGTGTTTTATCCAGTCTTTAAATGTGTAGGGAAAGTATTACAGCTGTGCAGTCTTAGGAAGGGATGCTTTGCAGCATGTGTTGGCATGAACAAAGGACAGCACAGCTGCTTCAGTGGGTTTCCTGTGACATCTTTTAATGCACGTGCTAACCTAGCAACCATACTTCACTAGCAGTTCAAGTAGCTTTGGTTTTGTGTACAGTTGTTCAACTATGCAATGAATTGGGAAACATCACTTAAAATGCTTTAACAGTTCTAGAAAACAGAATTACTAGAGAAAAAGAGTTTGTGACTTTTTTGGGCAGAACTGTAGGTTCTCCTGATGTTTACGTATTTCAGTTTCTTTGTTTAACTTTATCTGCTGTAACTGGAGTAAGATTCTTATTCTATCCTGTATCAGGCCAAAGGGGATGTAGAAAGGAACTCCAAAAGTTATGGATGTATGAATTGGGGCTTTTACTGTAGTCTCAAGGTTGTGCACCAGTGAGTTAACATAAAGCCACAGATGCAGAGTAATTATTTGAGAGACTGTTGCCTTTTTTTTTTTTTTGGTATTCATTTGAATTGTTCTTTGGTCTCATCTAGTGTTACTTGGAATTTTGCACTCTTATCATTTTTGCTGACAGCTACTTTGTCACTAATTTTTTTTCTAGGACCACCTTATAAACCAGAGATAGGACTACTGCATCCTTCATAAGAATCTGCATCATCCCAAAGTTAAAAATGAATTTTAAAAAAATAATCAGAATCTCATGGGACTGCCAAATTTCATAAGGTATTGGTGTGCTCCTTAGAAATCTAGCAAAACCTTAGGTGAGAATGTTAAAATCATGGGAGATTTGTGATCTCCCAATATTTTGGCCATTTAAAATTACATTTTAGTTTGGCACCCCTATCAGGAACTACTTCCATTTTCCAATGAACTATCAGTGGTCCATACCACACAGAGGGGAACCACTTTTCTAGACTAAGTATCCAGAATGATATTGGATCAGTGGGCACATCTATCTATCTATCTATCTATCTATCTATCTATCTATCTATCTATCTATCTATCTATCTATCCATCCATCCATCCATCCATCCAT